TCAAAAAAAAAAAAAAAAAAGAATGAGACTCTGTCTCTACTAAAATAGAAAAATTAGCCCAGCCCAGCCTGGTGGTGGCTATAATGCTACTCAGGAGCCTGAGGCAGGAGGATCACTCGAGTCCAGGAGTTTGAGGTTGCTGTGAGCTATGATGCCACAGCACTCTACCCAGGGCACAGAGTGAGACTGTCTCAAAAAAAAAAAAAAAACAATATATATATAAACAATATATATATGTGTGTGTGTGTGTAATATAGTCAGTTTTTATTTGCCAATTAAAACAATTGCTTTAAAAAAGAGTATTAGCATACAGGTTAAACTCCTTTTGACTTAAACCATTATAGCCCTCTCAACTTCAAAGCACTCATCAGTTTTGTAAGTACAATGGAACCTCCATAGTTAACCACCTCCCTACAATGACCCTCTCCTTAGGTTGACCTTATTTCCATAGACTGGACATGCACTACATGTACGTATTGCTACAGGAGGCCTGGTTCCTTATGCTAACCACCTGGCATATTGACCAGCTTGTAACAGTCCCTGTGTGGTCAACTGACAGAGGTTACTGGGTTCCTTTGTATATAATTATTTCTTGATTTGTTTCTTAATATGAAGATCTGTATTCAAAAGGGACATGGAAGACTGTTTGCTCACTTGCCCTGGCAAGAAAGGCCCATTCACTGTCTGTGGTGAGCGTATCTTGCTCTATATGCCTGTATCTAGTTTTATTCTATAAACTTACCTTTCTCTTTCTCAGCAAACTTGGTTCTATGCTTGCCTTAAAAGGGGGGAGGGGCATGGAAAATAGAGCATGAATGTTATTTTTCTGTTTCACACTGACAAATAGAGACCACTCAGCAATTCTCCTGTATTAGGAAACTTTGAGGCAAGCGGGAAGAAGCCAAGGAACACTAGTAATTATGTTCCCACTGCTTCTTTCCCTCTCTAAGCAAGCCAGAAGGAAAACAGGCCAAGTGTCAGGGCGGAAAGCCAGTTGTGGAGCCATCCAGCATTTATCTGGGAAGGATGACATCTGCCACAGCTCCAGCAGAGCAGGGACACAGCACGCACGTGTGGACACTCAAGTAAAAGCAGGGCACTCTTGCCAACACAGAGGACCAATGCACCAGGCTGCCAGGGAGGGCTGGTACATGCAGCTTCATTGAGGTGGTTGCAGACTGGTCTTGTTCAGGAGGTAGGGAAGGCAGGTGTTAGAACAGATGAGGCGGTGTGGTGGCTCTTACACAGCATCCCTGCCCAGGAACCAGGCCTGGATTCAGAGTCAGGTTCCATTCAGCCATTCACCACACGGGTATCAAACACTGCCTAGGGCAACGCCTACCTTCAGCGCTGGGTGGACAGAAATGTGAGGCAAAAAGACTTGGAGCTGACATCCACCCCATAATCCTAGACAAGGCATCCTGAGCTAAGTCTTTGTAAAAGGGGGTGAGGATGACTGTCCCATGACATGATCTGGCATATAAGGTTAAATTTTACTTGGTCTTAAACTTAATTTTGATTTGCTGAGGATACAGACATGACTAGCACACAGCTCCTACCCCCGAGGCCCCCTCAGTCCTGTGGGGAAGGTGGAGAAACTATGTTACAAGTAGAAATGAGGCAAAGTGGTTGACTCTTAACAAGTTAGGCAAGAGTGTCTGGTAAAGCCCACCCTGTAAAGACAGAGGATGTCTTTGGCCGTCTCGATAGCACTTAGCAAGGGGCCAGGCTACTTGGCAGGGGCCCAGGTGGAATGAGGCATAGAGGGGGAATAGGTTATCTTTTCAGGTGTAACAGTAAGGCCTGAGGAGAAGACCTCATCTGTCCTGAAGATACATGAGATCAGGTGGGAGTGGTGGCAGTGCTGTCCCAGAGCTCACCCCTGCGGAGCGGGCTGTGAGGAAGACTGAGCCAGCCCCACGGGGGAGCCAAGGTACTTCCCAGGGTATAGGGCTCTGTCTTCCAGGAACTGTGCCCTGGGAGGGCACACCCTACCCTCTGTGACCCCCAGCCCTGCTCTGTCCCCTCTCTCTTCCTTCTTTGCAGACCCTCCCATCACCCTCCATAGAGACAGTGGAAAGAAACACAAATGCCAGCAAGAGCCCCCCCCCCCCATGGGGGCAGGAGCCATGGGAGGAGCTGCTCTGGAGGCCTCACTTCACTCCGTGCAATGCTGGACCAAGACAGATGAGTGCTTGTCAGGACCACGTCTGCATTCAGAGCAAAGAGGCCACTGCCCCCTACCCCCATACCTGGAATGGGCACAACTGAGACCCAGGAAGCAGCCTTGCAAGTTGGACACTGCTCTGAACAGGACCTCCGGCCAGCCCTCTGCCCCGAGACCCCAGCAGTGCTTGGCATGACTGCCCCTAGAGCACTCGCTGGTAGTCCAGGAAGTGGTCAGATGTGTGGCCATGAGATGGATCCTGCTGGCTGTCTGGGAGGTGCCGCTCTGCCTTGTCACCATCTGCAGTGTCTCCTTCACTGAGATTCCATCCTGCCTAAATCCTGGGGCTCTCCAAGAGTGGCAGGGAAGGCTGAGAGGAGAGGCCACTGAGGGCTGAGCAGGTCTCTGACCACACACTCCACTCCTCTGCTGCTTCTGGAGTCTCTTTCTCAGGTGTAAGTGTGGCTCTCCACAACAGACAGTGTGGGTCTGGACCAGGTGGCAGAACCTGGGTCACCACCTGAGGGCCTCACCTGCTAGTGAAGCGCTGGACTCTGAATCCAGACCTCCTGCTCTCAGGCTAGGGGAGAGCCACCCCTTCTCCCTCATGGCTTCTTCTTAATGTAAGAGCCCAACAGCCGGCTTGGCGCCTATAGCTCAACCGGCTAAGGCGCCAGCCACGTACACCTAAGGTGGCGGGTTTGAATCCCCAGCCCAGACCCGCCAACAACAATGATGACTGCAACCAAAAAAAAAAAGCCAGGCGTTGTGGTGGGCGTCTGTGGTCCCAGCTACTTGGGAGGCAGAGGCGGGAGACTCGCTTGAGCCCAGGAGTTGGAGGTTGCTGTGAGCTGTAATGCCACGGCACTCTACCCAGGGGGACAGCTTGAGGCTCTGTCTCAAAAAAAAAAAAAAAAAAGAGCCCAACAGTCTGCCTTCCCTGACAGCTTCTACATTGCTCCTGCAAACTGCACAGTGTCCTGTACCTCCTTGCATGCCCCCACATGCACAGCCCCTCTAGCTCTGCTGGAGCAGAAGCAGATGTCACCCTTCCCAGATGAGCCCCTGATGGCCGCCTAACTGGTCACTAGCCTCTTGCACTCTGAGGTCTCATCCTGGCCTCACAACCCTCTGTGGTGCAGAGCACACCTGGAAGCTGCTCCTTCAGAGCTCTGTCCTTGCTGGCAGCCATGGCATGTTGCCCTGGCTGACACACTGCCAGTGCTCAGTCCTTGGCTGCTCCATGAAGTCTGTTTTGTCTTCTTGTCAGATAAGAGGTTCAAGGCTGGGACTCTCCAACCAGGCAAGAGGCAAGGGCGGCCTTTTGGGGCTTGCATCATATGAGTCTTATTAAAACCCTCCCACTTCCAGGCATCAATACCCTGTCCCTCATCAACACCAAGTTTATCAAAAAGGCTGACTCACATGTGGGGAGGTGTGACCTCAGTGCTGGGAGGGAAGGTGGAAGTACCACCTAAAACCTCTATAATTTCCTGAAAGCTTCTTAATTTGGTTTTTTGGGGAAACTCCTCAAAGGAAAGTTGGCAGGGGAGGCAGGAGGCTGTGGCGGCAGGACAGGAAGGGGGAGAGTCAGGACAGGGGAGCTGACATGGACAGCAAGCACAGGGGTCTAGAGAAAGTCCAACACCTCCCAGGGCAGCTGAGGCCTTCCCACTGGCTCTGCCCAGCCACGCTCCTCAGCTCTGCACCTGCCCCCCGCCCTGCCCACACCAGCCACACCAAGTGAGCCTGATACTTTATTCACATACCAGGAATAAGTACAAAAGACATTTTTAGAAAATTCACGTGGAGATAAAAATCCCAGCCTTGCCCTCCCCAGGTGCCACCCATCTGTGCTCTTATCCCCCAGCCCACTCAGCTTTGCTGGGCCTCCTGTAAAAGCTTGAGCAAGGGGTTGTCAGCCCTGAGGGCAAAGGTGAGTGTGCGCTGCTGGTAGTGCGTGGGGTCACACTCCAGGTTCTCGATCACCTCGGCCAGCAGGTGAGCCCGCTCCACGCCCGAGCCGGGGGCCTCGAAGCCCAGGGCTGTGAAGTGCACATGCAGGTGGTAGTAGGAGGGCAGGTAGTGCAGGTACACTCGCAGGTGGTCTCCCCGCACCTGGTAGCGCTGCAGGATGGCTTCCTGAGAAGGGCAGGGCAGGAAAGGGGTTATCATGGGCCCCACCCTGGGCCCACACTCCACCTAGGCCCTCCTCCCATCTTAATCCCCGGCCAGCCTGGGCCAGCTAAGAGAAACCCTCCCAAGAGCTCTGCCCAGTGTTCACTGTGGATCCCTGTCTTCTTGTCTAGGAAATCCACTAAGGCAGGTGGTGGCAGCAAAGCTGGGTGACACTCTCTCCCCCCAGAGGAAGGGAGCACTAAGGCCCGGCACTGAGGGTCAGGCCCCAGGCTCCCAGGACTATGGGACTGCCTTCCTCTGGATGCCGGGCACACACTCAGCAAGTCCTTGGGGAGGCACAGAACAGTGTGGGGCTTGGGCACAATGGAGATGCGGAGGGGCTGTGCTAAGGACTCGGGCGAAGGAGAAAGGATCGGGAAGGTTGTGGACAGGACTTCCACACGGACTAGGGCTGTCTCAATGCCTTTCAGAAGAGGAAAGCATTTGCTTTGGCCACGCTCCATGTGCCCACCACTGTCTTGCTCAGGGGTGGGTCTTTTTCTTACGAACTTCCACCTTCTGGAGCCTCCAGGGCTTAAAACTAAGAGGAGCCTCTAATGTCCACTGGGAGCAAGTCCCTGAGGAGGTCAGAGGTAAAGAGCTCACGTACCCCAGGGGCCTCAGCAGCAGGCTAAGGGCAGGACCAAGGTACCCAGATGGCTCCCTGGGAGACAGGGATGCCCACCTGGTTGAGGCTGCCTGAGCCACCAGCACAGGTCATGTCTCTGAGAGGAAGACACTGTTCTCTGCCACCTGTGGTATCCAGAAACTGTTCCATGGCAGCAAGAGGGGTGGAGGGGAGGGCTGTGGCAGCAGGGACCTGGGTCTAGATAGCCATTCCTCCAGGTCTGCACTGGTATGACCTTATGACTGTCGCCCCTGCCACAGCAGGCCTGTCTTCATGCTTCAGAGGCTCAGTTCCACAGAATGGAGAGTTTAGAAAGGACCCCATTAGATACTGAGGTCCAGAGAAGTGAAGTGACCTGTCCCAAACCACTCAGCTGGTCAGGGTCAAAATATCAGGCCAGGACAACAACCCAAGGGTCTGGACACTTCCTCCATCTCCCTTTCCCACTGGAGCTCCCTTCAGCACCCCTGTAATTTCATTCAGTTCAACAAATATCCCAGATAGAATCTGCCCTCAATTAAGATGAGGAAGTACCATGTGCCCATGTCTCCAAGGCACTCCTCTGGCTGATGCAGTTGTCATGACTGAGACAGGGGACCCTGGGGAGGGAGGGGCCAGGACTCAAGGATCAGAGTTTGGGTGTGGAGGCCAGAAGTGCATCCCAGGTGGGCCTACAGAAAAGGGCCAGGAAGGCGAGCCTGAGGGTGTGAACAGGAGGCTGAAAGCCGAGCTGGAGAGGAGGGCAGGACAGGAGACAAAGGGCCTGTGAATCACTCTGCAGAGCACTAACAGGGTCTCCGAGGCTAGAATCCAGAACGCAGCAGCCTCTCCTAAGACAGGGTGAGGAAAGGGGCCTAGGGGACCACCGGCATCTAGATCTGGCTTCTCTGGGTCCGTATGGGGTGGAAGCAGCTTACCTGCCCCTGACGGAGGATGTTTCTGAGCAGCGGTAGGTGCTCTGGGGTGAGGTCCCGCAGCGATCTGATGCCCCGGCGATGGCAGATGGCGATTAAATACAGGTCGTCAAGCTGCACAGAAATCAAGAGGAAATCAGGCACAGCAGGCAGCAGAGCCAGGGAGGCTGCCAACCCTGGAACTGTCACAAAAGCCAGGAAGCCCCTGCCCGAGGCCTGCAGGACCCCTACAGCCAGCCCGAGAGACCCATAGCAGGACACATCCCCGGACAGCCCGGGGTTCTGTGAATTCTTCCTGCTAAAGGGCATCATGTGGGAACATCTGTATACTCACCCCACAGAGCTGATGGGGGGCGGAGGGGACAAAAAAGAGCCAAAGGCAGCACACACCCCCCCCCCAAGGGTTTATAATCTAATCACACATACGTAAGTGGCATACATGAGGACATGATGTAGCCACAGCACAGGACGAGGGAAAGACGAGCTAGGTGGGCACCCCAGGAAGGCCTCCCAGAGGCGAAGGCAGAGGATCTGGGTCTGGACTAAGAGGCAGAGTTTGGAGAAAGGACATTCATTAGGACAAGTGGGACCAGTAAGGGCAGAGCTCAGTGGTAAGAAAGCACGGCAAACATGGGAGAGTGAGCGACTTGATTTGCTGAAGTCAAAGGCACATGAAGGGGCGTGGGGAGATCGGAAGGACGAAAGGGAGGCCCAGGCCAGCTCAGCAAGGATCACACCAGAGTGACTGGTATGTTTCTCTTTTCCCCTTTCTCAACAAGTTCATGGACAGCCCTTCCTGCTGTCCTTCCTGAACAGGGCCTGGCTGAGAGTCCGGAGGTCACAACAGAGCAAAGAACCAAAGTCAATAAAATGTTGTGCCAGAGAGCAAATGTGTTCTTCCTCTCACCCAGCAACCCTGGCCTTGCCCGGCCATCCCGTGTGCCTGGCAGGTCCAACTCCAGGGCTCTCAGCGACAAGGCACAGGGGACCAACAGCACCCAGCCCTGCAGTCTGAGCTGCTGGCCTCCTTATGGAGATAATTTGGACACCATGAGTCACTTAACCAAACTGCAGGCCCCCACATGGGACTTGAGAAAGGGATATTCCGTATGACTGATGTTCAACTGTGCCATCGCCCCTTCATGCCATAAGCACTAATCCCACCAGGGTTCTAGGAATCTGGATACTGTCCCGGGCCAGTTACAGATGACCCAGGAGGAAGGCTCCAGCGCACAGCTGAGCTGAGCCTACCAGGACCGTTTTGCCCACAGGACCCTCTGGACTCTCCCTTCTCATGTCCTGTGCCTGGGACCTTTACCCTCTCAGCAGCCAGAGTCCAAGGAGAACCTTGAACTTTGGGGCATGGGGAGGGTGAATGTGCAAGTGGGTGCATTTTTTGCTATTTTATGTGTCACTGACAAGGGACTGCCAATAACAGCAGCATTTGTTTTAGATGGTGTCTCCTGACAAATCCCAGAGATGACAGTAAATCACAACGCTGCGCTCCACTGGCATGGAATGAGGTGTGGAGCCTGGGGCTGGATGCCAGAGGGAAAGAATCCATTCTTTGACATCAGATATGACCTGAGATTTTCTACAGGCGGCCAAACAGCCTGCTGGCCCAGAGAAATAATCTGAAAAAAGCTAGACGAGGGGCAGGTGAGGGCGTCAGATGGGCACCCCAGAGGCAGTCCTACAGTCACGCTGGGGAGACAGACACTACCAGTCTTTTGTATTTTAAGCACTTTTTATGTTTGTTCAAAAATTTTCAGATTAATGTAGGAGTGCATATGATTAGATTACATTGTTTGTGTTGTAATTACAGTGTAACATATAGTTGAGTCCTTCACCCAGAAGGCGTGCCACATACCCCACATTGTGCCCTATGGGAATTACTTTTTTTTTTTGTTTTCTGAGATAGAGTCTTACTCTGTCACCTAGGGTAGAGTACAGTGGCATCAAAGCTGACAGCAACCTCAAACTCCTGAGATCAAGCGATCCTCCTGCCTCAGCCTCCTGAGTAGCTGGGACTACAGGCACCCACCACAACACCCAGCTGATTTTCCTATTTTTAATGGAGGTAGGGTCTCACTCTTGCTCAGGCTGGTCTGGAACTCCTGAGCTCAGGCAATCAGTCCACCTCCACCTCCCAGGGTGCTGGAATTACAGGTATGAGCCCCTGCGCCTAGCCTGGGAAACAATCTTTTTTTATAATAAGGAATACAGTAAAATCTAAGTAATAGTTTACTGGCAAGAAGTGAGTCAGGGAATGGCTGGAGTGCTGGGCAGCCAGCTCTTGACCTCAGGCATGGTCTGAAAGAAGAATTCCCTCATCTGACAACTTTAGACCAAGGAACTTAAGCCATGGGAACTGAAACACAGGTGTCTGTACACACACGTGTGCCTGGAGTATGGGCTTACAGACACAATATGCAAAGATCTCCTCAAAAGGCAGGCAAGGGAACAGCGACCAGAGTGTTTTCTAGGGAAGGGAGATGGAGGGACGAAGAGTGAGGGGACAGACTCCACTGCGTGGCCTCTGTCCTATGTGCATTTTTACCATGTGCATAAATAAACTAAACCTACAAAAAAAGAAAAAAGGCCACACAAGTGCTCTCAGACAACTGAGGAGACATGCTGTAACTCCCAGGCATCATGTCCAGCAAACAGGAACTTGGTAAACATTTTCTGAGTAGACAGAGGGAAGAACAAGAGAGGAGTCTCTTTAATTCAGGGCCATCAGTTTGGGGACAGCAGCTTCCAAGACAAGTGGCGAGAGATTCAAGGTGGCTAGGAAAGCTCCTCAAAGCCAGTGTCAGGGCGCCTGCTTCTCCTCAGTCCTTCCCTACCTGAGGCCACAGAATAGATGCCCAGATGCAGCCTCTCTTCCTGCTGGACACACTGCCTCATTCTAAGGGAGCTCCTGAGTTCAGTGTTGTCACACGTCAAGGACTCAGGACATTGGAATAAGCTGACCATCCACAGCCCTGGGGGTGAGTTGCTGCAGCTGGTGGCTGGGAGCCCAGCGCAGCTCCTGAAGCCCCTCCAGACTTATGGAGGACTGAGGGGCAGCTCCAGGGTGGGTGGGGTGGAGCCTGCCAACACTGGGTCAGAAGGAGGGTATGTTTCTGTTTTCAGTGCTGTGGGCTCAAATGCACGCAGGGCTCTGGTGTAGAGATAGACAAGGCCATCTGGTTTGCCCCTCCCTGGTCTTCAGACTGCTCTTCAGCCTTCAGGAGTCTTGCAAAGCAGGTGTTCCTCTCGCCCCTCCCCAGCCCCGGGGGATTCTCAGTGATAGAGGCCTCACTACCCACCGCCCAGATCTCTGCCTCAGTTTCCTCTCAGCTCTGCAGGCACAGGCTGCCCGAAGGGACACAGGCGAGTCTGCATAGCCACCACTCCATCCTCACTCTGGGGCCTTGTCCCAGCTCTCTCTAGAGCCAGCCCTCCCTCACAGGCTAAAGGTGGCACAGGGAGGGATAGGCTGCCGGGAAGGGGAGAGTGGACACAGTGCTCTCTTAGCCTCTCACTGTGGCACCCCACACAGGGGAGCCTTGTTCTTTAAGCTTAACTTGATGCTAAGAAATCATCACTTGATGCTAGAACTTCTGGAAACTCCTGTCAAATTTCCTACCAGCCCTTGGGCCACGTTCAGGTGTGGCTCTGGCAAAATCCCATCCCTTTACCCTGGCTGCAGGCCCCCAATCTTCACTTTTTTGGCAGTGGAGGAGTGGTGTGGCATTTCTAAAACTGCCAGATCAAAGGGCAGGCCACAACTGAGAAAGCAAGAGGTGGACGTCCACAGAGATGTGGTCATGTTTTCCATGTCTCATGACCACATGAGAGGCACCGAAACCAGATGGGCACACCTAGAGCAGAACAGCAAGAGTGAAACTGGAGGACATGACGTTTACCTGCTCCCAACACTCCCATGTCTGCCTGCCTCCGCCTTATCCTGGCCCTTCTGTTGCAGGGTATGATGTGAATGGCACTCTCTGTGACACGGAAGCTCTGCCTGGTTCTCATCCTGCAGGGTATTAAAGTTTCTACGCTATCAGGGTGTAACAGAGATGAAAGCCAATTCTAACTTTGGTGGTGCGCTGGTCTGAAAGAGAGAGGAAGGTGGAGAGGGGAACAGCTATGGAGGACTGGAGAGAGGCACCTGGAAGTATCAGAGGCCAGAAGGGGGAGCACTTGAGGGCCAGGGAATGGGGAGCCACAGGGCCAGACGGGAGGCCTAGCCATTGGAAACCTGCTCTGCTGCTGAGGAGTGCAGGGGATCCCCTGGGCTGGTTGCCATGGCTCCTGCCTGCCAGTACCTCAGAGCAGGCCTGGTGGACCTGTTGGTATCTAGGGGATGGAGAGAATGTAAACCCATGAATGGGTGAATGTAAGCCCATCTGAGGGCTCCAGGTGCTGCACAGGCAAAGGAGGCAGCCCAAGCTACGTGGCTGGGTAAAGGAGTGGCCCCATGGTCATAGACACAGACACTGCCCTCTTCACCTCGTGGGTAGGGAGAGCCAGAGGGCTTTCAGATAACTCAGTAAAACAAAAGCACCTGCACAGGACAGGTGTGGGTGCTGTCACTGTGGAGGCTCAGCCACTCCTCAGTGGTTGGTCATAACCTGCTCAGAGAGAGGCCAAAGAAGGGCATCCAAAGGGCCCACACATTGGAGCCAGCAGTCACGGGCCTGGTGCCCTGCAGTGAATCTGTTACCTGCTGTTGGTTCCACTTGAGGTCGGGGATGAGGACAAAGCCGTCAGAGGGATCCGGGTTCTCAAAAACAATCCGGTCTGCTTCAGCCTTCTTCTCGAGAATGTTATACACCCACTGGAAGGAGGAGAGAGGTGGTTCACAAACCCACTCGCTACCCCTTGGGAGGTTCCCAAACCCGGCTGGGTAAGCTTCCTGGTCTCTCCAGGAAGGGTGACTGAGCCAAAAATGGCCACTAAGCTCAGGGGGTCTACATCGGGCTATTTAGGCTGTTCTGTCCATAAGTATCTGCCCTTGGGGATCCCGAAGAGATTCCCCTTTCCCACTGCAGCTGACACTCGGCCCCTCTGCCACACAAGGGGTTCTGAGGCTCAGACAGGGCCAGGATCCTCAGGCTCCTCCTGGGCAGCTAGGTGTGTCTGCTTTCACAGGCCTGGTCCACCTCTACCCTTACAGCCGTGAGCTCCTCCACTGCCCATGGGCCTCAGGGGAAGCAGTCTCCAGGGACTTTGTTTCACTATTTAGGACCACAGACAAAGAAGGTCAGAGGCAGCAGGCATTGAGGCTTCCTTCCAGTCAGCTACCCACCAGGGCAGCAAAGGCCTCTGTTTCTAGGAGTTACTGCATGTGGGTTTCCTGCCTGCCAAGACCTCAGCACTCTACCTACCCAGCACCACTGTAGACACCAGGGACCAGCATGCGCAGCAGACTCAGGCCCCAAGTGACAAAGCAGAATTGAAAGCCATATGGAGACACGGAGACAGTGACCTCACTGAGATCTCTCAGGGTAGCCCAGGGCTTCTGGGTGTGTTACCACCCTTTGACTCACTGCTGTTGACAGTCTTCAGAGAACCCAGCACCACCTATGGCCGCAGTGGGCACTGGCTTAGGGTGTGTGGACCCCATGCCCTGAGCTGAGGGCCGAGCACACACCCCATGCCATTGGCTCCCAGCAGGTTGCCTATCTGCCTGGACCACCTGCACTTCCAGGTCACCCTGACGCATTACAGCTCAGAGGGCCTCAGGACCAAAGCCTACCCCTGAGTCTGGTGGGCTACTTCCTGGGAGGGTCTGAGAACACCCAGCAGTTGCTTCCCCACAGAGTGCTGGGGTCAAGGCCAAGTATGATCCCACAAACCAGTAGGAATTTCTTCTCTCACTTGAAATTTCCCTGGAAATATGATGCTGGAGGAAAAAGCCAGCCAGAAGCCGACCTGAAGCATCCCCAAAATGGAGGGGAGAGAGGGACAGTGCTCCCCACAGAGAGGCACCACATACACAGCCTCCCAGGGCCCAGTTCTGGCCCCAGGGAAGGTCAGAGAGAGTACATGGGCTCCCAGCTCCACACTGACCACCGTCACCCGGAGCAAGCCATCGGCTTCTCCTTTGCAACGCAGGCTGGTGACACCATGAGGCCTGGGGTGGCATTTCAGTGAAACACACAGGTGAAGGAGCCTAGCGCTGTCAGCAGGGGGGCAGTACCCACACACAGCAAGGTGATGACAAGGCTCACAGGGGATGAGGACAGGGGACAGTGTGCTCGAGCTCCACAATGGGCTGGAGCAGGACAAGAGCAGCAGAGGGGCCGGCATGGGAAGAAACAGAGTGAGGCTGGGGGATGAGGGAGCGCAGTAGCCTTACTCTTGCCCAGCACTGCTCTCATGCCACAGCAACCCTGTGAGAGGGTTGATACCCTCACCCTCAGTTTGCAGGTGGGGAGAAAGCAGGCGCCAGGAAGTTCCACCCACATGCCCAGCTTTGACCATGAGCTTGGCTTCCAGGACAAGATGCACACCAGGCCTCTGAGAGAGCGGCAGGAACCCCCATCAGCAGGGAGTATCCAAGCCAGAAGCCCAGAGGAGAAAGGAAGGAGAACCAGGGCACACAGTGCACATGACCGTGGGAGCTATGTGACATGGAGTGCCACTGTCTGAAAGCAGCCCAGGGATGCTGGCTGCCTTCTGGGACATGTGCCCATGCGACGCGCTTTTCCTGGCCTTGCCTCCTGGGGTCTTAGCTCTCTGCACCTGCCCCTGATGGTTACCTGCGTGGAAAGGGGTGGCGGCCATCCCAGCACAACTCTGCTGGAATTAACTGCAGGTACAAGATGTGTGGCACCTCTGAATCTCTACTACACCCTAGGACAGAGGGACTGTTAATCCCATTGTCCAGACAGTCAAGCCGGTCTCAGAAGTTAAGGACAATATCACACTGCTTCTGGACAGCAGATTCAGGAGCCTATCACCAGACCCAGACTGTCTTCCACATAAACCCACTCCGGTGTCCACACCCACTGTGCTGGTACATGAATGACTCTGCCCATACTCTTCACCCATGCCAGTCCCTCATCTCTCCATATCAACCCACCAGCCCAGGGATACCACCTCTGAAACTGCTGCTGAACGCTTCCTCACTGTCCCTGCTTTGGTTTAGACCCACACTGGTTCTTACTCTAACCCTGCCCCACTCATTCTGTAACTCTGACCGTCCCAGCCACGTGCTTAAAACTTGCAGGGAGGCCTCACTGCCTTTGGCAATCGTTCTCAGATCTGATGGCTGTTAGAAATACTGGAGATGTTTTACTTTTTTTTCTTCCAGAGACAAGGTCTCACTCTTTTACTCAGGCTGGAGCACAGTGGTATAATCATAGCTCACTGTAGCCTCAGACTCCTGGGATGAAGCCATCTTCCCGCCTCAGCCTCCCATGTGGCTGAGATAATAGGTGCACAACACTACGCTCAGCTAATTTTTAAACAAATAAGTTAAGTTGGACCAGGTTGGTCTCAAACTCCTGGCCTCAAATGATCCTTTCACCTTGGCCTCCCAAAGTTCTGGGATTCTAGGTATGAGCCATTGCATTCAGCCCAGAGGGACTTTATTTAAAAAATGTACATTTCCCAGCTCCACTCCCTGAAGGATCAGCTTCAGAAGATATGGAGGAGGGCCCCAGGCAGTCCTAATGATAGCAAGGTTCAGGAACTGCTGGCCCCCTGGACAAGGCCCCTGCCTGCCTTCTCAGCACCATCTCTGACCCTCTAGCACTCCGAGTCCCAGTCACCAAACTCCCATAGACACCCGTCTGCTATCAGGTAGGCGCAGCCCTCTGTCCCTCTGCCTCAAACACCTGCTGAACATCTGCCTTCCCCTAACGCTCACAGGAAGTCCCCCTCCCTGTAAAGTCCCCACCATCTGAGCCAGTCAGTATCCCTCTATATCACCCACTGCAGCTTGACAAACCACCGAGTGCTTATCCCACCATCACAGGGTCAGGGCACACAGATACTCAGTAAATGCAGACTCAGTCACGCTGAGTGCTGGACACCGCTAGGCAGCAAGAAAGAACAAGTGAGTGCTCATGTCAGTCAGGAGCTGGATAAAGAGCAGAGTTCTGTAGCATTCTTACACATGGAACTGCGTAACAGGGTATGAGAAAGCACACCATGAGTCACACCAACCATACCAGGGCTTCCTCTCTTCACTTCCAGACATAGGCAACCAGCACAACAGAACGTGAGTTCCAAGAGCACAGCAGAAGCTGTCTGGGAAGATGGAGACGGTTCCTTTCCACTTAGAAGACAGAACAAACGCTAGGACTTTAAAAAAAACAATCAAGGCAGCGTGCACAGAGACAGCCTATGGAACTGGACAGGGGAAGGGGGCTGCCTGCACACAGGCCTCCCAGGAAGTGCCCTCCAACCTCCCTTCCTTACTTGTCCCCAGCTCAGGTCCACCTGCTGCACCTACACACCCTGCACTCCTCCTCCGGGGCCAGGGAGAAGTGGCGGTGAGCTTTCCAAACAGAACACTACACCACATGACCTGAATCTCTCAGGGAGAGCAAGTGAAAGATGCTCAAAATGAATAAGAGTGGGTGATACAAAGAAGGGCCCAGTGAGAATCTGAGTGGGCAAGGAGACAGGCATAAATAAGCATCAGTCATATTAGCTGTGAGTATTCACATGAGGCCAACTCCAGGCCGAGGCTCTGGCTGGTGCTGGGCCTAGACCCAAGGAGGAGTCAGGATCTCTGAGCTAAACGGCCTGGCACCTGGCCCTGTCAGACGCCTCTGCCAACTTGTGAATGGAAGCCCTGCACTGACACCAGGGACAAGGACTGCTTCTGTGGAGTGAATGAACAGGGATGAACTTCCCACACAGACACGGGTCCTCTCCCCTACACACGCCTCCCAGACCACACAGCCCCTCGTGTACCTGTGCCCCAACTGACTGTGTACGGGAGTTGGCCCCAGGAGACAGGGACTCCACCCACCATACTCTCTGCCACGCCCCCACTGCCCAGCACAGCACCCAGCCTCTGCTCAAGCCCCAACAGATGCTTGTGGGAAGAGATGCTGGCCATAGAAGCATCTGAGACACATGGTCGGTCACCTGAATGCTGAGGCTCTGGGACTCCAGGTGGGGTAGGGTGACGTTCTTGTAGTCCTCTCCTGTCTCTCGGACCAGGCGGAGGTCCTGGCGCAAGTACTTCTGCAGGTGTTTCTCTGTGGCCGGGAAAACCACGGTCGTCTTTATATCTGCAATGACACAGCATGGCTTGTGACTAGGGGGCAACGCACACTATCCTCCCACAGGCACCATGGTAACGAGAAGATCCTTGCCTGGCTTTGATTCCCTCAGGGAGTTGAAAACCAAGAGGTTCTACACACCTGTGATCCACTCCCATGAGGTGCCTTGTGCCATCTACTCATGAGCTGAGCCACACTCAGAAGCTGTCAAGTACAGGTGCCCACCAGAGGGTCACTGGCTCTTCACCACAAGGTCCCTCCACCTTCTAGTCTCCGAGTCTTCTCACATGCCAAATTTCTAGACATGTAGCTTTCTGGACTCCCTTAATGAGGGGCAGCGGAGCAGAGCACAGAGGCTCAAGGCATGGGCCCTGCAGCTGAGCTCCTGAGTTCAAGTTCTGGCTCTGCCTGCTCCTGACTCTGAGTGGGACCTTGGCCCACAAACCTCCCATGCCTTCCTTTTACACATCTGTCTAATGCAGCGGTTCTCAACCTGTGGGTTGCGACCCCTTTGTAACGATGAAAATATATCCTGCATATCAGATATTTACATTACAATTCCTAACAGTAGCAAAATTACTTATGAAGTAGCAACAAAAATAATTTTATGATTGGGGGTCACCACAACATGAGGAACTGTATTAAAGGGTCATGGCATTAGGAGACATGAGGAAAGTTGAGAACCACTGGTCTAATGAATAAGAAATAGCTTCTATGTCACAAGGCCGGGAGGATTAGCAGGTTAATTACCCGTGAAGCACTCAGAACCACACTGGCACAGAGCCACCCTGCCTAAGTGCTGGTTACTTTTGTCCAGGGTCTATCTTGGCCTGGACATTCACTGCTGTAGGGCTGTCCTGCTGAAGGGCTGTCCTTAGCAGCACCCCTGGCCACTGCATGGATGCCAATAGTGCCCTCCCCTCAGCTGTGACACCCAAAAAATGTCTCCAGACATTGCTAAATGTCCCCTGGGGGGCAGGGCTGTCCTTAGCTGAGAACCACAATTTAATAAGAAGGACATCTTGTAGTTTTCCGAGATAGACTCTGGGCCAGCGCCCTGGTCCAACCCCACCTGGTTTTGGTTAAGTGCTTTCCCTTACTTTTAGTGACATCTGGTACAACTGTTATCACTCTAACATTTGTACATAGTACTCCAACACGGACCTCAGGGGCAGAAAAAGAAAACGGTATTTCAAAATCTGTTGGAATACTTCTCAGAAGACCCAGGGTCCCCCCTGACTCCTTGCTCAAGATACAGACATCTCCAGCGAAACCGGAGTGAGAGCGGAAGCCCAGCCCATCCACTGTAACACACACACCCACATACTTCAAGACCAGCTAAGAACCACCAGCTGCATATAGGAGGTTTTAATCCCCCTTTTCACAGGTAAGTAACAAGGGCTGCCAGGATTCAAGGACTGATCCAGGAACACCTACCTGTGAGGTGTGGCAGAGGTAAGACTGGAACCAAGGCCTCCTCTCCCAGACTGGGGCTCTGGCTTACTACAGCCAGCCCTCCAGTCCCCTCTCTTCTTGCACAGGCCAGTGGGGTACAGAAAGGTGACAGCTCGAGTGCCTGACTCCAGTGAGCATCAGAGGTCCCCATTCCCCAGCCCTGGGAGGCAGTGCAGCACAGCGGGGAGACACAGACCTGGCCCTGAGCTGGCCACACGACTCCCTTCCCTGGCTTGTCCCCTCGGGCATGTATCTTCTTTCTTTTTGAAACAGGGTTTTGCTCTGTCACCAGGCTGGAGTGCAAGGACACTATCACAGCTCACTGCAGCCTCCAACTCCTGGTCTCAGATTCTCCCACCTCAGCCTCCCCGTGTTGGGAGCCTTAACCTCTCAGAGTCTCACTGTCCTCACCTGTTACAGGGAGGTCATCTAATCTGCCTCATGACAGAAGTTGCTGATAGCATTAAACAAAACACATTAGCTGGATGACTGGAGGTGCTAAATCAATGTCACCCCCATCCTGGAGCTCCCTGAATCTGACCCTGGAAGGGAGGCACAAAGGTCCCCTTATAACCCTACGCACAGCAGGCAAAATGATCTTAAACAGAAGGAATGTTGCTCCCTTGGCCCTCACAGTGGGTCTGAAGAGAACCCCGTGGTATCTGTGGTGTAGCTGGTGGACCAGGACAGATCTGGGAGCCAATATGCCTGGTATGAGCCCCAGCTCTGCACTTATAGCTGTGTGACCTTGAAGCGACCCTCTCTATTGCTTTAGTCACCTCACCTGTACACCCTGGGAGGATAATAACAGCATATATTTTAGGAGAGCTAGTGTGATAATTAAACAAGTTGATGGAAAGATTTGGAATGTGACTCACACACAGAAAAGGGCCCCACAAAGGCTAGCCCTTCTGCTTTTCAGTGTTACCTGAGCTGCCCAGGCTAGTCAGCGGCAGTGGGGATGAAGCCACAGAGGGGGTGGGGTGGGACGATCTAGGAGTGGCCTGACTGCTCGCAGTGGACACACAGGCCCAGCTGTTCTAGATCAGAAAGTCCCCAGGCCTGTGCACCTGCCCCATTTGTCTAGGTTTCCAGGACTGCCCCAGTCTGTGAGCAAGCAGGCAGCTTGCCTTCCCGGCCTTCCCTTGCCTACCCTGCTCAGTAGCTAGAAGAATACTCAAAGGCTTCATTTTCCAACTGGCTCACTTCCTGTCATCCTTCCTCTCCCAAGACATTCCTGCCTGGACAAGGGAACCCACTGTGGCACTCAGCCCACTCCCTGCCCCAGAAGCCTCAGCCAGGCCCAGGCTGGCCCTTGCCTGTCAGGGTGGGGCTGCCCACCACATACTGTCTACACTTTCACCAGCTCCCACTGCAGTCTGCAAGGCCCTCAGTCACCTTGTCCTGGCCCTCTCTCCACCTTCATCTACCACTGTCCCCTGCTGCCTCTGCCCCAGCCACACAAGCTGCTTCACCACTGGCAGATGCTCCTAGCTCAGAGCCCATGCCAGTCCTCCCCCACTGGAGTCTGTGCTGAGGCCTGGGAAACAGCAGCCCTGACTCTTGGCCTCCACCTCTCCCACCACTTGCTTTGCTTCACTTTTCACTAGCTGACCATACCAGCTGACTGACTGACTCCTGTTAGAATGTAATCTCCAAGCAGACAAGGATGTGGTGTAGGTTTTTTGTTTTTGTTTTCTAACCAGTTATCCCCAGCAGTGGGAATAGTGTCTGGCCTATAGTCAGCACTCAACAAATTCTTACTGAACAAAGAAATAAATAGTGATTTTCAATGGGTGTGCCGTGAAAATTTTTAAAGAACATTAAGGGCAGCACCTGTGGCTCAGTGAGTAGGGCACCGGCCCCATATGCCGAGGGTGTTGGGTTCAAACCTGGCCCCGGCCAAACTGCAACAAAAAATAGCCGGGCATTGTGGTGGGCACCTGTAGTCCCAGCTACTTGGGAGGCTGAGGCAAGAGAATCAATCGTCTAAGCCCTTAGAGCTGGAGGTTGCTGTGAGCTGTAACTCCATGGCACTCTACCAAAGGCGACAAAGTGAGACTCTGTCTCTCAAAGAAAAGAACATTAATTAAATTATTTTCAGGATCGGTGCCTGTAGCTTAAGCAGCTAAGGTGCCAGCCATATATACCAAAGTTGGTGGGTTCGAATCCAGCTCAGGCCTGCCAAACAACAATGACAACTGTAACCAAAAAAAAAATAGCCAGGTGTTGTGGTGGGCACCTATAGTCCCAGGTACTTGGGAGGCTAAGAATCACTTAAGCCCAGGAGTTGGAGGTTGCTGTGAGTTGTGACACCACAGCACTCTACCCAGGGCTACATTGAGGCTCTGTCTCAAAAAAAAAAACTTTTTTTAAAAATTATTTTCAAAAGAAGTTCAAAGCACAGTAAGTATATTGTTTTTTGTTTGTTTGTTTGTTTGTTTTGTTTTGTTTTTGCAGTTTTGGCTAGGGCTAGGCTTGAACCCGCCACCCCTGATATATGGGGCTGACACCCTACTCCTTGAGCCACAGGTGCCACCCTAGTATATTCTTTTTTTATTCTTTTTTTTTTTTGATCAATATAATTTAGGTATGCCATGGAAGTTTAACTATAGGTACAAGTATGCTGTGAGACAGAAAAGGCTGAAAAACTCTGAAATAAATGAATCTGGCCTTTCTAGACTTCAAACCCAGGAAGAGTATCTTTGTCCCAAATAGAATAAAACCAGCATGAACTTTGGTTCATTTTTGGCTAAACCCCAATGAAGACGTTCCCCTGTAGCTGAACTCGAGGAGTTTCCCAGGAGTCCATAAACAACTGGACTGTCAGGTAAATATGCTAGGGAACAGGATGCACATGCACAGTCCCCAAAACACCTTCCCCCCAAATTAGTTATTAACTAAAAAGGGAAAACAAGTAGCTTTCCAGCAGCAAAAGGTTACCACCTCCATCCCAAACTGGGCTTAAAATCACTGCTAGTGGGCACGCTGATATCACATGCCTCCCGACGGGATGCGGTGTTCTGGCCAAAATTGCCCAACCAGGACACAAGCACAGGGGCATTTGACAAAAGCTTCAAAAACGTCAAACTTAGGAAAGACAAAGGCTAAGGAACTGCTCTAGATTAGAAGACGCTAAAGAAATGGGACTAAGAGATGGGACTGGTCCTGGGTTGGGCGAGGAGACCTGCTCTAGTGATGGCTTTGAAATAACCAACACAGCTTAATAATGGACTCCACATCACATGAGTTTTATAAAATGTGAAATTTCTTGAAATTGATCATTTTCCCTTTTTATATCCATTATTAGTGGTATATGTTTATGTGGAAGAGAAAAAGCAAATGTGAGAAAATATTGTCATTGGTGAAGGGCTTTTATAAGGGAGTTCTTTGTCTTTACAATGTTTCTAGTCTTCTAGAAACTAGTCTTTACAATGTTTCTGTAGAATTGAAATGTTTCTCCAAAATAAAGTTTGTAAACAAGTGTTCATACCTTTGGAACCCCAGCACTGACTGCTAAGCCAGTACACACATTAACTCACTCACTCCTCATG